TTGAACCACAAAACACGAACCTATTTGAACTTTCCATGTGGTATCTATAGACGCAAATTATAATATTGATTTGTTGCTATGGGAAAAACAAAATGCAACGTAGCAGATTAGACAAATGCCACCAAGACAGACTTTTAACCAAATTCTTGTCATAAAAATTTTGAGTGCGGTAAAAATCCTTTACCGCACTGTATCAAAAATTTAGAAAAATCATGCAATCAATGCATTTGCCTTCGCGTAATGGCCGTAATGGATGAAATAGAAACATTTATTGTTTTTAACAATCAATGATTGCTACTTTTTATGCATTTTTTCTTCCATTAGATTTTAATTCCAAAAATTATGTGCTCCGAAGGAAAAATTTTGTACCTAACACGTGCGAAAAGTGACTTTACCGCGAAAAGTAAGGCAAATGCCTTACTTTTCATCACCAGTTACGAAAAGTAAAATTTTTATCAAATGATAACGTCAACGAGTTTTGAAAAGTGTCACTTTAAATGTCAAAATTAGAAAAAATAATTTTTCTACCTTATTTAGAAACTTTTTGATCTCTTGTAGTTTTTTTGTATCACCGACCCTTATCGAGAAAAAAATTAAAAAACAAATCTCTGTAATCAGCTAGATGAAACTAAAGTGACTCTCAATAAACCTTTTCTACCTACAGTGGTAACAATAGAGGTCCCGCAGCCATATTCTTGCTCATTTTCAATAGGAATCTAGAAGTGAGACACTTTTCGCTGCCATATTCTTGCTCATTTTCAATATGAATACATTAAAATTTCAACACCCTGTAGGTGGGTAACGAAGCGTTTGCGGATATATGTTTATTAGAAATTTTAGTCATAAAATAAACCAAAGAATCACCCCCTTTCGTTTGTACATGATATTAAGGAACACCCTGTATAGATGACCATTCTTTGCAGAACGAAGGGCACTACCCATACCTTGGGAGCCATCTATCAGCGAATACAATCATTGACGTTGAAATCCAACATCGGTCGGAGTGTGCTAGCGCGGCGTTCGGGCGACTTCTAGAGAGAGCCTTCAAGAATCACGACATCAGTGCCTGAGACCAAACTTCGCGTCTACAATGCAGTTGTAATACTAATACATGAACCACCTACAGAAGATACACAAAAAGCCTAGAAAAATACCACGATGCCTAAGAAGGATCCTATGGATTAAATAGCAAGACCGACGAACGTACATAAGTGTTTTAGAGGAGGCCAAAACAAATAGCCCTCGTCATTGAGCACAAACTTCGCTAGACAGGTCACCTCGTCCGCATGCCTCACGACAGATTCCCTACAGTCAACTGAAATGGAAAAACGAAATCAAGGAGGTCAACAAAACGCTACAAAGATGTTCTAAAAGAACTGGGAGACGACGGCAAATGATAGATCCTCATGGCGTCGAGTAGTCCACCACGGACCACAAACTTTTGAAGAACAGCGACGCAGACACGAGACCGAAAAGAAGGACCGCAGGAAGGAGCAAGAGCACAGAGGAAGAAAAAATGCTGCCAGAGACTGAAAGTGCCAAGACTTTGGAAGTGTGTGCCGATCCAGAATTGGTTTATACAATGTGTCCAAGATAAGGAGGGCCGGTATGAGGATCTGGGAAACGGTAAGAGATACGACGTCGCTTAAATGAGAAAAAAGTTGCGAAATTTTGTGCTGAATAAACAAAAATACTCTGGAAATTGTTCCAACTAGTTAAAGTCTGTTTTTTTTTAAAGATAAAAGTCAATGCTTTCAGATTTTTTATGTAGAAAAGGCTTGTGTTGCCAACATAGTTACTAAATTTTTGACTTGGGGAATTATCCTTCAAAAAAAAACAGACTTTAGTTATTCACTATCAACAATACCGATTTATAATTCAAAAACAACAGTTTTAGAGGTTAAATACTCATCAGCTGTTACACGATTATGGAGACTGCCGACCACCAAGCAGTGTTGCTGCGTCTAGGCTGTTCATGGCTGGATACGTAAAGACGGTTGTGGCCGTATTTAAAAAAACGAAGCTTATGATGGTGGCCCAAAGACGAAACGTCAGATTTCAAATTTGAAAATGTCATCTTGTAAAGTAGAAAAAGTTGTTACGATGAAGTGACATCTATTTTGAAATATCTTTTCAAATAAGCTCAGAAAAAAATAAAATCGATTTTGCAAAATCTCGGGTTTTTCCGGATATCTCCGGTAGGCATCTAAACATTCCGGTATAGGATTCGGCACCTAGGCATATTTCATTGGTCCGTTTGAATTCGGATCGCCAATTAATGCGGAGTGCCGAAATCTGTACTTGAATGTTAAACGGTGCTGAGCCTCAGGTCGGAATGGTATATATACATATACTATGTGGAGTGCCGAATCAAAGGTCAAAATGTTAAACAGTGCCCAGCTGCAGGTTGGAATGTTACTCCGTTAGCGCGGCACAAAATCAACAAACAAACTTTATTTACTTTTTGTTACACATTTATTTTATTTCAACGATACATTTCAAAAAATCTTGGACAATAATTTGCAGTGGCGGACCGAGGGGGGGATTATAAAAACCTGAAACCTGGCAAATTAGAATAGAAAATTTTGAAAATAAATACCCTAATATATTAATTTTTTTTTGGTATCTGTGGTGCTTAGTTTAATTAAAATATCAATTGAAGCCAGACAACAGCAGTTTTTGGATTTTCCTTTCTTATTTCCTTGATCAACTTTTTTATAAGCACTATGACATATCTAAAAAATGTATTTTCCAAAGTCTATTCGCATCCAAGATTCTACGTCATTGAATTGACATTGAACACAAACCTGCATTTGAATCTGTTATAACTATTTTTCGCTGACTTCACATTCCAATTCATGTATATCACTATACTCTTCTATCCATTGCTTTATATCGTTTTCCTCCAAAATGTTGGCTCGGTAAATTTGCTCACCACATTGAAAGTGTTTAAATGATCCAGGCAAACTCATCTTGCATGTTTAAGCACAAGAACACATGAAGCAACGGCGAAATAAACCGCATCCGCCGCAAAATTGTAGCTAAGAGGAACCGAAGGAGGTGGACAGCTGATTAAATATAAAAACCGCGCCAAACGCATGGCAACATTCGGACCTGATACTCAGCACTGTTTAACATTTTGACCTTAGATTCGGCACTTCACATGGCTGTTGCTAATGGACCATTCTGACCTGAGGCTCAGCACCGTTCAACATTCAAGTACGGATTTCAGCACTCCGCATCAATTGGCGGTCCGAATTCAAACGGACCAATGAGATATGCCTAGGTGCCGAATCCTATACCGGAATGTTTAGATGCCTCCGGTAGCACTCGAAATTTTTTAAACATCCAAGCGCCATTTTACTGAGCACAAAATTGCGCAACTTTTTACTAATTTGGACACATTGATAGCCATCAGAAAACGCACAATCGACGAAAATGTACCTACTATTTTACTTATGCTTGGTATTATTCAAATCATCTTTAATAAATTATTTCACGACAGAATTCGAAAAATTGATTATCTTAAATTTTATTCCAAATTACGGGACGTATTTAAAAATCAAAGAAGCACTTGAACCTTAAAGAAAATGTTCTGAATAAAACATAATCTTAAAAGGTCTAACGACGTTTATTTGCAATTCCATTTCAAAGTTGGAATTTATTATCAATAAAAAATATTTAGTCACGCTCAATTTATTCATCAAAACCAATGTTAAACCGAAAAAGATGTCCTATAAAACATTAAATTATTCCTTGAGAGTTTCGAGCTTTTTTTTTTGTGGAGAAAGATTTTACCGTTGAAAATCTGTAATATTAAACGCAGAGTAAGAAAAAAAATAGATACGATTTCGAAAAATCATATTAGGAGTCATAAGAAAAAAAAAGCAATAGGGCATGTCCATGTGACGTCACAAATGAGTTTGACAGTCGTCCTGAGGTAAAACAAATCATTTAATTTACATTAGTGTAGATTAGGCCAGTTATGTTTTATGCGGTTTTCACAGCTTTTTTACAAGTTTTTGTGTTATTTTGTTTTAAAAAAGTTAAAGTAAAGTGTTTATGTTCCAGTCTATGTGGTCTTTTATCCAGAAGTTTGCTAGGTTTTTCTATAATGGGTTAAATTCAGGTTTTTCCCAACAAATATCAAAACCAAGTGTCACAAGAACAAATTTCTAAGTATAGTTACTCTATATTCGATCTACTTTTCTGTCAGATCTTCAACATTAATCAATTTTTATCTTCTTTTTTGAGCTAACAAATCAAACCTCCCATTGTTATTTAAAATTGATGAAAACCTATGGAAGGATATTGTATCCCTTGCGCTATACTGCCACAAATAACAACTAAACAAACTCTAGGCATGTCCAAGAAATTTCTGGATCACACAAAAGGTATTTATTTAAAAAAATCTAACTAAAAACTTAAAAAACCACTGTAAATTATATCTTTGTTTTACCTCAAGGCGACTGTCAATAGTGTCAAACTGTCAGATCGTGTACTTGCCCTATTGAAGTTTTAGAACTCTGTCTTTACGTCATGTTTTTAAACGTCAAAAGTTAAAAGGTCATTAAATAAATGGTCGGACTTTCAAATCAACTTCTATAATAAAAAAAGTTTCCAGGAAGCAAGGATACGCTATTTTAAAAGTTTTGGCCAGTAGTTCCAGAGCAAAATAAATTTGAAAGATCAGCAACATTTTTATTGATCTTATAACATCATCTAAATGTATGCAACTTATAGTTAAAGTTAAATACTTATCGCAGCATCAAAAATAAACTTTAAAATTATTAGCTCAAAAATAATGTAGAGAACCGTATATCGATATAAACTGGGGTAAGAGATTAAATAGGGCCATTAAGTAAATTGCTCGACTATAAAACGAAATGTATTACCCGCAGTTGTCGAGCTTTATTTATTTAGGCTATTTTAATGGCGATATGGAGGGCAATAAAAAAGTTATTCTTTGAAATAATATAGAAACTATAGAAAATACTTACCGCCTCTAACTTCACACAAAAGGCTGACATCCGAGCCTTCATTGTATGGACCCAAAAGTACGGATTTATCTATTCTTTTGTCGTCATAAATATGTATTTTCTCTGGGGGTACTGAAAAGACAGAAAGCAAAAAATAAGAAAATTATTCACTTGAATAATATAAGTAGGTAAACAATATATTCACTTTTTGAATAGCAAAAAAAAACTAGTAAGGGCGCATAGGGCATTTCCGTGGCAAATTTGTGATTAAAGCAAGCAACCTATGTAGTCCTCTCAAGAATGCTCTTCTCAATACAAAACGGGTTTTTGCCACCCCAAAATCAAAATATTTCACCCACCATCCCCCTACGGGGGTTAAAATTTTAAATATGAAAAATTTTAGTAAACCTGAGGGGTAAAAACTAAACACCAAAATAATGCTTTTCTTTTTCAGAAAAAAACTAGTTTGGATTACACAATTGTCGAGATAATTGTTCTTCAACATTACAGCTGCATAGCTCTGTGCATTTAGGATTGTTTAGAATACACTTACACCGTTGAGTTTTGCACTGAGTTTTCTTGCATGTACAATATATTAGATTTAATATGGTGTCAGGTGCAATACATTCATTAGTTGACAAAATTGGAGTGGTCCAATGGGATTAGCTAAGTGAGCATTTACCTAAATATGAATCTGCTATGTTGCCCGTTGCAGAGCAGGATATGAACTGTGTTTTGTAGGTGGCAACTGCTCGTTTTGTAATTGCTGTTTTGAGAAAGAATGCCATCTTATCTTAACTCAGCCAAGGTTTTTAGTTGTACCTACATTTGGAGCATAGAGAGTACATATAAATTTTTCCACAATTTTAACATTGGACAAATTGATGCTTACGTCGCCTAATGATACCAAACTATGCAAAACGTCCTCGTGCACCTTATTGAAAGCCTTCCAGAACGATTATAAATCGCGTTGTTTTTACAGTATTTTGCGAATCCCCCGCCGGTTGTATGACACCCAGACAATGCATGAATTGTAAGTAAAGCATCTCTCTGAAGTTTCGTCAAATTTTCTGATATCTCATCAGCAACATAACTTGTTTTTTTTTTGTACCAGTTCCAGTTTGGAAATAGACATTTGAAATTAAATTTTTGTAGTATTTTAGTACCAAGGGAAAAACGTCAGTGTCTGGTGAACAAATAGCTAATAATACATCCGTACTTTTAGAGGACTATTTTCTTGAGGTCTCTATTCCGTGAAGAGTTAATTCAGTATCTGCTTCCTCTTATGACTGCTACAGAGATTTTCTTCGCAACCACCTAAGTTAGAAAAACAAGTGTCTTCCCAGGCCACTAGTAAGCGTTTTTTGTGATGTGCTTTCGACTTTAATAAATTTTGAGACAAGTATTTTGAAAGCTGCTTTTTTGTTTTATATACGAAATAGTTATTCACCTAAGAAGTTCGGACAGTTATATTTTTCCGTACGCAACGGCGTTTATTAACAGAATGTTAACAATTATTTTTATTATAAGTAGACTCAATTATTATGGTATAAAACTCATTGAAGATGTCGATACTCGTCAATACAAAAAGCTAATAGCTTTCTTGAAGAGAAAAAACAGTGGAGAAATTTCGAGAATATCTAAGATTTTTGAGAAGCATGTCATAGGGAGAAAAATTGAGAAAAAAAATTTAAATTCAGTGCGTGAAAAACTTTTTTCGCGCACGCCGTTTAATAATTGTTTTTTTCACGCACGCTGTGCAGAAAAGTGGTACTTTTCGCACGCAAATCGGTGCCTAAGACCGCGTTTTCCGCACGCTCGTAGAAAGAAAATAATCAAAATACTCTATTTTAAGAATTATGACTTTAGGGGTACCTGGGGGTGAGAGTCATGTACCCCAGGGTAGCAAGAACCATTTTCACATGACAAAATACCGTCATAAGACTTTCAACTAGGCACCCACACTTTAACCCGCGCCGCCCCAAAATAATTTTAAAACTCGGGATCCCAGAACAGGGTCAAAATGGACCCAGATACAATCCTTTTTTTTTCGAGTGATTTTGAATATAAAATTTTGGGAATCATGATAAAACATGTTTTTGTATCATGCTTTAATTTCATTATGTAAAAAAAACAACAAAATAAACTTTCTATTCATAAGATAAGTGAATAGTAAACTGGAGGACAAAACTATAAATGCCGAAAACACGTGAGAAAACCTTGCCACGACTTGTCGAGTTGGAGTGTTCCAGCGAATACCAAGTTATCCCAAAACCGGGTCATTGGTGACCCATAGAAAGTTTTCTGGGGAAAAATTGTTTTTTTTTTTTTTTTTCTTTTAAATCGCTCGTACACGTAATTTGATTGTGTGAGTGCTTTAAACATTTTCAGCTTTAACTTAACCCTCTAGGAAGGGTGGGACCAACCCTTACCATTTCAAATCCAACAGGGGGTCGAGTGATACCTGTTTTAAAAGAGCGTTCAGTTTTCTTTCAAATGACATCAAATGAAAGAAAATTCAACGCTCTTTTAGGCAAGGCGCAAATTGAGACACGTATAGCGCGTGTGACGTGACATGACACAAGAGACACGACACGTACGTGCCATACGTGCTGCGCGGTGATCCATATATTGAGCCGCAGTTTTATGGTGGATTGCACAAAAAAAATTACTCCTCATTCTTAGCACGTACTTAGCTAAGCATGATCTTAAAATTTAATTTTGCATTGATCGCTTTGACTTGCACCAACCCTACGTGAAGAAAACTTAGTTAAGATTAGTTTGAATTCCGAACTAGCTGGCAACACCGCAGGATGTACGCATTTCGATTTAAATACAGAATATACGTCATAGTTGTTATTCGTGTGAGAGATAAAGATGAAAAATGTTTATGATTTCTTGAGAGAAACCATAAAAACCAAACAATACGAATCAACAACGAATCCACAAGTACAAAACTACAAACATAACCATGCTTTGTCCACCCAAATTAACCTTGAACCACGAATTCGCCGCTTTTTCGCATTTGTATGTAGGTGATCTGTGGTATTATGTCCAGGCAAACTTACATTTTTTTTATTTGCATTTTTTGGTAATAAAATAATAATTTAATACAAACTGCCTTTATTTTATACAAAACACAATAGGTACCTAATTTAAAAAGTTTGAAAAATACATAGGGTATCAGTAGGTACTTAGGGGACATAATTCAAATTTTGAAAATATTGTACCATTTCATTTCTGAAGGCTCTTGCTCCTACATCATCAATATCCATGTTTGGTGGATTGGGTATCCTTTGCATTTCTATTAAATAATTTAAATTATCTCCATCCAGCTTTACAGGGGGTACCTCCTCCTTATTTATAATTGCAACATTATGGAGAACAGCTGTGGCTACTATGGTTGATAACGATGTTTGTAGCTTTAATCTTAACCCCTAAGCTATTGCAGGAAATCATCCTCAAATAAGTCCATATTTAAACACAGATTTAAAACTCGGATTTTAAGAAACGAAATAATATGGGTATAAATATCTCGATAAATATAATTTTTATGAAATCACTACGACAAATAATTGACATTTGCATTTGACAAAAAAAAAAAACAATTATTTCTACCTAAGAACGTGTTAAGGTCCCAACAGTGGTGCCTTAAAGTTTGGAATTCCTAAACCCATCTTAGGTGAGTTTTCTGACTGGTGCAACCGAATTTTCCTTGCTTAACTTTCAGAATAACTTAAGAATGACTTAAGACGTTCTAAAACGAACTGTGCAATCCACCATAGTGACTCGCATATCAACCGCATCGGGAAATCTCTGATTCCGAAAAAAATTTGTTTAGAATTGAGTTCCGAATCAGAATCAGATGATGCTAAAACGGAAACGTTGCCTTATGCCTTGTTAAGAAATGTTTTCCCAAATCCGATTTTTCAGTTTAATCTTCATATAGTTAGCATCTTCTGTAACGTAAAGCTCTTTGTGTGCCCTTACCACCTCTATCAACTTCTCCTCTGCCATTTTTTAGGAAAAAATGAAAAACGTTTGTTGAAAATACCACACGCGGCACGAGAAACTGTGTCTGAACAATTGCGCCGCGCGACTCTCCAGTGACGTTTTCAATTTAAAAGCCTCTCTCTCTGGCGCCAAACTGTCAGACGCCAAAAGAGTATGAAAACAACGGTTGACGGCCGCTGACAATGGTTTGTTGACAAGACTTTTGTGCATGTGGAAACTGGAAACTATTATTTCCTCGGTTTTTTTAAAGTTTTTTCCTAACAATGGTGATTGTGTAGTATGCCTTTTTGTAAAAATAATTCCTATTTACCGGCGGACGTGTCTTTCCATAAGTTTCCAGCAAATCCTACATTTATCAAATTTTGGATACATAAAATCAGAAAGAATACTCGCAAAAAAAGGGAAATCCACGGCCTATCAAGTATACAAAGTAATCCACGTTCAAGTTCAGTTTGCGGGAGCTGTTTGCTTCCAAAATAATCCACCGCTTTCTCCATAGCGAAGTTCTGCAAATGAAATAGTGACTTTTCCCACATTTTCTTTCAAAACACCCAATACACACTGGCATTGACAAGCAAGCAAATGTTGGCGGGAAAATGATTGTATTCATACTTATTGTCCATCTCTTTTAATTGAAAACGTCAATTTGCGCCGATCCATTCGAATCCTGTAGTTACAAAAAAACGCGCTATGCTGCGTCACCTCACACGCGCTATACGCGACTCAATTTGCGACTTGCCTCAAAAGTGGTAATGTGTGTTTTTTTTTTTAGATAACAGTCAAAATGACATTGGCAATACAATTTAAAATTGTCAATGCTTTCAAAATTTTTATGTAGAAAAGGCCACACGTGGCATCAGATATTTATTGTCCGTCGATTTTAATCTGATACTCGGACGGAATGTGAGCTGGTAGTATCCTACATTAGAACACTAATAGTTACCTGACGTCACACCTGTTTTTGCCATATGAAACACCCCCTCGCTCCTCATACGGAAAGTGTCAGTTAAAAATCGACGAACAATAGCCTGTTTCGTTTTAAATGCTTCACCCTGTATATCTAAGGGAAAAAATTAAACATTTGCAGAATTTCTGGAAACTGAAATGATATCTAAAAA